TCTTCTTAAGTGTATAGGTACAGTTTTAGTATCGTCAAAGTGAATTCAATATTACAATCTTTCGAAGGTAATTCAATATTTAGATTGTCTTCTATTACTTTTGCATTAATTTCAAGCAATAAAAGTACTAACAAAACTGAAAGAATAGTTAAATTTACGAAAGTTTGCTTGTTTAGATTAAGTTACGATAAGTTTTAAATATTTAAATTACTTTAAGAAAGAATTATTAATATCATTTCAATTTTTAATAAAGCTATACAGTGAATGAAGTATACGTACAGTACATTTATGCTGTTGAGAAACGTGAAGTAAATTTAATAAGTGAAAATTAATGGTTTTTTTTGCAAAATGCTTTATTTTAGCGATAAAACGTTTTGCTGTGGTAGTAAATGATTGCAATTTATTATCTTTTCTCTGATTGGTTAATCTAGACAACACGTGACAACCCGCTCAATACCGGGCCATAGAGGGACTTTTATCAGCTCTTCTTGCTTGAAGCATCTTGTTGAACTTATCAACGATCGTCGTCATGGCAACTGTGTCAAATAACTCGCGAAAAGAGTTCCCCAGGGATATGTTGGAAGAGAATTATTGTTGTTACAGAGTATTTTTTTACTTCTTATAACGGCCTTGTTTCTAGTTGGCCACGGGCTAAAATCTTACAACTCGAAACGTTTGGTTAACGTTATTGTGGAGGAATTTTATCACTTCCTCTCAAAATTTCTACTTCACTGCCTCATTTTCGCTTTTACTTTCGTTAGAAATGTAGTTTTTTTATACTTTTTTTTTCTTGGTTACACTATCATCGAACATTGATATGGCTAGCAATGACAGCTTCAACCACTTTAGCTTTTATAACCAAATGGGAAGCTTGCTCTAATCATCTTATATCGTGAATTATTTTAAAACTTCATGCAATATTTCTTCTTCAATTTTTAACAGAAAAACATCATAAAAAATCAAAATAATTAATTATTTTTTTTTTCTATTACCAAATTGTAATAAGATTTGGATCCATTAACTTAATCCTTAAATAAAAATTTAGTTAATTAATATTTATTATTATTCTTTATTTAAAGAGTATCGAATCTCGATCGCACACTTAAACATATTTTGAAAATTGTCATAAATAAATTTAATAAATAACATTTTTTTATTATTTTATCTTGATTGATTTCGTATTTTAAAATTTAAATTTGTTTATAAACATAAATATTTTAACAGAAAAAAAAATATATTTTATTTCTTTTCTAAAAAGGGGGAATGAAAGAATGAAAAATTCATTCGAAATATAAATAAAAAAGAAATTTACATTTCGTAAATGCTTATTGAACAATAGATAATAAATAATAGAAATTACAATAAAGTTTAAATAAAAAAAATATATATATTTTTTTATGTTAAATTATAATTATAATAAAAGTAATTTATCAAGAATATAATTAAGTTTGTTTANAAAAAGAAAAAAAAAACAAAAACATTTAAAAAAAGTTTCTTTTAAATTAAAAAAATAATAAGAAGAAGAAGAATAAAAATTTTTTAAAATTTAATTTAAATTAAAAATTAAAATTAGTAATTTTTAATATTAAATTTTTCTTTATTTTAATTTTAATTTTATTTTATTTTAATTAAAATCGTTTATTTCATTAAAAGTTTATCGATTTACTTTAAAAATATAACATTAAAAATAAAACCTGTCAAAAATGTGCTCTTTTTATAGAAATACATGGAATTACGTGTAATTTTAAATTATATTTTTATTTTATTTTATAAATTTTATATTAAACGTCAGAATTTATAAAGGATATTTAAGAAAAAAAAAAATATATATATATATATATATAATTAAATAGAAGAAAACAGAGAAAAACAACGTATTAATAAAATGCGAACCACTGATCTATAAATAATATAAATTTTCGAAACTTTACCAAAACACAATCTACTGATTAAATAACAAAATCGAAAAAGTGACAAAGGTAGGACTTGTGTTCCCCAAGAGTGGTTTATATTGGGAAACACAGAAGACATTGGGGAACGATTTAGCAAGTAGTCCTTTTATCTCGTCCCGAGAGTTTCACCGAATGTCAGATAAAGTGTGTCTGGAAGTGACAAAGTTGGTCAGCCACCATGACAGCAGACAGAGGGATTTACTTCATAGGCAATTCTGATGTTCGACTATAAGCATAAGTAGATTACGAAACAAAAATAAAAATAAAATAAAATAAGAATATATATATTCGTATATCCCTTTTAGATATATCCCCCTTAATTTAATAATCATAGATGCATAGATGCGCATCTAAACACGATGCTTCTTTTTTTTATTGATTCTTTTGACTGCAAGCTCTTCTCTCTCTCTCTCTTCAGATATCTACAGAAGATAAGAATAGAATTTCGAAACGTTAGAGAATTCTACTTTCCCATCTGCTGCAGTACACCCAATTTAAAAAGCAATCTGACACCTTACAAGAAAGTCAATTTGCATTCGCTGAAGAAATCGTTGGGCCTATAGGAATCTAATTTATCTATGAAGTTAATACATTGCTTATAGAATATTCTACCATAAAAATCTTCAAAATATAATTATAATATTGCATTCTTTTTTTGAAAAAAAAAATATATATATACGATATTTGTAATTTATATAAGCTACGAATAAATTATTAATTTCTTTTTCTTATATGTATATATGTATCTATTTTTCCCCAGATAAAAACTTGATTTTTTTAAAAATAAATTTAGAAATTATGATTTATTTAAATGTCACTTTTGCTCATTTATTATTAAGGAAACGAGGGAAAAAATCGTAGTGTTTTTTTTTTTTTTGTAATTTAAAAGAAATGATTCCCAGCGCATAACATTCTCTTAAGATAAACTTCTGATGAGAATTATTTGACTTTCAAATTTTATTCTCATTAGATAAAATATATTTTTATTATTATTATATATATATTTTTTTCTTGTGACGTGCTTCTTGATATTAATGGAAACAGCAAGAAGTCTGCTGAATCAACTGTTTTCTACAAGATTTATTTCCTTAGAAAGGAAGAAGAAAAAAAAAAGTGTACAGCNATTATCGATTTATAAAACTAAATAAAAAATTTATTTTTTTTTGTTGTTTTTATGTATAATAAATGGAATTATAATATCTTTTATTAGTAAACATACATTTTAATTTATTTATTTAGATGTATAAATGATAAATAAGAATAAAACTTAGATTTATAAATAACGAATATAAAAGACAAGCCAGTGTTTTAAAAAAATTAATTATTAAAGCCTCAAAAAAAATAATAAAAAAATACATGAAATTTTAATGGAACTTAATTAATTTTTATTGAGTTTATAAAATATTTTTTTATGTACGTTTTTAATAAATTTTATTTCTTTTTTTTTATACATTTCATCTCTAGAAAAAAATAGAAAGTTGTGTACCAATTTAACACGTACCTGTCCTTTTCATTAAAGAACTACACACTCAACAACATTCTTTTCCATTCTTTTTATATATTTTTTTTAAGTCGAACGTATTTCTAGAATTTTTCAAGAAAAAAATAATAATAATATTTTTTATTTGTGGCTAAATCGATTTACGTGATCATTAAAAATAAATTTTCATGAAATTTGAGAAAAATTGTAATAAAAAAAAAAAACCTTACCAAAAATGGCACCGATGAATTATTTATAATTTCGAATTTATACATTAAATTATGTAAAAAAAAAAAAAGATTTTTTTTTCTTGCATTTAAAATGTATGAAAACGTAAATTGCAATTAATTTATTTTCTTCGGTAATCAAAGATATTATACAAATATGTAAATTTAAGAATAATTGAAGATGTCAGCTTTACCAGTTTCATTTATTCGTATTGAAAAAACAAAACAAAAAAAATCATTGATGAAAGTAAAAAGAGGGATGAAAAAAATGCGTTAAAAATAGAAAAATTCTGTGCTATGTTAGTCAAATTTAAACATTTTTTTCCTTAAAAATAAATAACTTAAGAGATAGAATTTGAGTACACTTCATGGTTAAACTTATTTAAAAAATGCTCATTAAAAATGAAAATTATTATTTACTACACCTTTCAAGATACAACTTTAATAAAGAATTACGTTAAGAAAAATCAAATATTTATTATCTTTCTTATATAAATTATATTAAGAAAGTGTATAAATATAATTTAATTATTTGAAAAAATATTTTTTTTAAATTAAAATGTTTATTTAGTTAATATTGTCCTTTTTATTATTCTGGTATTTATTTAAGTTAAATACACTTCCTATAATA